AAGTTATTATTAAAAAGAATGCTTACGCCAGCTTTGCTGCTAGAAAAAGAGCTGAAAAGGCTTTTGTACCTCCATTCAGTAGCCCATAGGTGAGAATTTTCTTGCGAACAATGTACTTCTTGCAGCATGTAAATCGAATATTTTTTAGATCCGAGCCAATTAAAAGTTTCTCTTCTTTTAGCATTATTCCCAAGGCCCCGTACATTGAGAGAAGCTACCGTGATAGTATTGTTATCTGTTTTGTATTGAAACAATAGGAGATACAATGGATATCTGCACTGCTTGATTGTTCGACAATAACAGCGTTATGGCCGGACGAAAATGTTTTGCATACAGTTCAGAAATTGTATTTTTTAAGCTTTGAAAGAAATTGTACGCGAAAAATCTACAAATATTTTTAGCGAGATAGTTTATATAGCAATGCATACTGGAGTCGACAAAACAGCATTGTAATAATGCGAAGAGCAAGCTGGTGACACGAAAACACAAACGGTTATATATAAACATATCAAAGCGCAAGTATTAAGCAAGTAATAAAAAAACACAGCATAAACAAAAATATAAAAAATCCTAATCAGTTTGGGGTTCAAGTGACTAGCGGGCACGAAATGTGAAAACCGGATCGAGTAATTATTGTCGGACAGCTAAGCCGCCCGCCACCTAAGATTTATAAATAGAGAAAGTAAAGTTCTGAGGTATAATTATTAAACACAGTTACTCATCTGCCTCTTCTGCTGCATCTAGACGTTTGCCCTGAGGCCAGAATTTGCCATTGTTAAACAACTTCTCGGGCTGGCTCTTGCTGAAAGATGCCCTCAAGCCTTGTCGTCGTGCTTCTTTGAAAACTGCCATTTGATCTTTCCGGCGCTTGATGATTTCTAATGGAAGATCGCGGAACATTTGGATATCAGTCTCTTCTAGTCGTCGGCCTAAAGAGAAAATTTCGTCGACATCTTTATATCGAAGAAGTCTGGCAATTATAGGACGTGGAGCTGTGTGGCTATTCCGTCGGGTTGTTAGACGGTGTACACGTTGGATTTCAACGCTGCGGGCGTTGCGGTAGCCAAGATCTCTTTCCATAAAATTTCTTAACACTTCTTCGGTATCTTCTTCTCGTACTTCTGGGATATTAAAAAATTTGATATTCTCTCTCCTAGAATAAGCTTCAAGGTAGAGGTTCTTGGAGGTGATGTCGTTTATTTGGTCGGTGAGCTTTCTCTCGCTCTCAATCAGAGAGGTTATTCTTTTATTTTGCTCCTCCATCTGCTTCTTTAACGAATCTCGATGCTCCTTACACTTGTCGCCATTGAAACTGCAAGACTTCCTTAATTCTGGTATATCGTTCTTAGCCGTTGCTTCAAACTCTTCAAGCTTGGCCGTTCTTGCTTTGAGGTTCGCCAAATTG